CCCCCCCCCTCACCTCAGGCTTGGTGTCCTCGGGGTCATCGATCTTGGCCCTCTCATCCCAGTCCTCAGGTTTCTTGGCCTCGGGGTCCTTGATCTTTTTTGGGGGCAGGAAATCCCAATCCTCCTCCAGGGACCCCGACTCCACCCTCCCGTTGTCGATCTTCACCTCGTAGGTGTTGTCGGGCCTCACCACCAGCGTGTACAGGTGGGTGAACTCGTCGTCCTGGGGGGCAAAGGGGGGCTCAGAAAGGCCACAAACCCCCCCATGAGAGGAGCAGCAGGACCCCCAGACCCCTCCCCACACACCCACACCCACCTTGCAGCGAATGTCCTTGTTAATGAGCACGTTCTTGCCCTTGTAATTAAAGATCACGTGAACCTTCTTGGTGCCGGGGCCGCAGATGTCGGGACCTGGGGATGGGGTGGAGGGGGTCAGGGGGGGGGTGAGCCCAGCCCGGGGGGGGGGGGGGGCGGGGGGGACACCCACCAAACATGATGTTGTACTCGGAGTCTCCGTGCATGTCCTCCTGGCTCAGAGTGGCCGGGAAGAGCTTCACGTAGCCGCCCCCGCAGTCGATGTTCTGCTCGTGCTTCACCGTGAACTGCAGCACCAGCGCCCGGTCCCGGTTGCTGAAGGGCTCGAACCGGGCGGACAGGGCGTAGAAACGGGCGTCCTGGCTCGTCTGGATGCCTGGGGAGGGCAGGGGGGCGCGGGCAGGGGGGGGGGGGGGGGGGCGCGGCCCCACCCCGGGGGTCTCCCGACCTCCCCCCCGCGCTCACCTTTGTCCTTCTCGGCGTCGCCGTAGAACTTGCCGGCCGTGAGCACGAACCGCCCGTAGTCGGGTTTGTGCTTCGACTCCACCCACCGCCGGCTCCAGGCGTCTGGGGGGGGGGGGGGGGGGGGGGGCCCAGGGCCCCCCCGCCCCCCCCCCCCCCCCCCAACGCGCCCCGGTTCCCCCCCCCCGAGGAGCTCAGGGTTTGGGGAGGGAACCCCGGAGCAAAGCAAAGCCCTGGGGAGAGGGGGTCTCTCAGGACCCCCGACTCCTCCCGGCCCACCCTGAACCCCCAAAATGCTCCTTTTCCTCGGCACTGAAGAATTCAGGGTTCGGAGAAGGGATCTTGGAGGATTTGGGGTCTCTCAGGACCCCCAACTCCTCCCCATGGCACCTCCTGGTCCCCCAAAATGTTCCTTTCACGCCCCCAGTCCCAAAGATCTC